GGAACCTTCGATATTACACGTTCGTCACATTCCAAGAAAGCAGTATATGACCGGGCCCTAAGTAAAACAATGAGAAAACAGTGTGCAGGACTAAAAAAACGGAATCTTGAAAGGTAATCAGGGAATATGACACGGAGCCAGCCAACCAGAAAGAAGGGAAAAAAAAACAACACAACAATCATGCACACAAAATAATAATGTCTTATTGAACGATCTTCAAGGGTCAAAAATATAACATCTTTGATTTTTTTTTCAGTTTTCGCACGGAACAGATATAACTGATGTGTTATTAAAGTTCAAACTTGACGTATAAGTGGAATCACACAATAACTTGGCCATATTGGAGTAGTTTAAACTTAGACTTTTAATGTCGCTCAACACATTCTCGTTTTCGTTTGATGAGGCTAATCATAGATAGCTGTAATAAATGCAAGTTATTATCCGGTACCTAGAGCCAGGTTTTGCATAAATTCACTTTATAATGATCATGAGGTTATTTACATTTATTACATGCTTTTCGGTGGTTTATAGCAATATATCAGTGATATAAAACTGGTAATTTCACTGTTTGAAACAGTGAAATTACCACTTTGATAATTTCACTGTTTTGAATTTAAGCCCCTTACGTTGTTTCAGTGAAATGCCAGCGTGCACAGTACTGGAAACCAACTTAATGACGTGACGTAGTAAATGACGTCACGTTGTATTATTATTTGGCGCGCTTTTCATTCAGTATTAGGTTAAATATCTTTTTAAAACGTTTCTTTGCATATAATAAAAAGAAAATTTGTTTAGTTTAGTGTAAGATTGAAATATATTTAACATTGTAAACACCAAAAGTTCATATTTCACTCGTGGCTGCGCCACTCGTGAAATATACCTTTTGGTGCTCACTCGGTGAAATATATTCCGATCTTACACTGAACTAAACAAATATCCTCTATATACATAGAAATGTTCATTTTTGCGGTGATCATAGAACTTTCAATGATGTTGTCTTGCTATTTCAAAAAGAATACTGGAATTAGATTCAGTTAAAATCACAGTTCAAGAGGTATGTGTATTGTACTCTTGGCATCGCAAATAAAAAGCAGACAGGCTATCATAAGGGTGATTATCCTAAGCAATTATTTCTTCAAGGGGCATAAGAACTTGCTTTAAGCCAACAGGGACAGTCAACCGTTAATGATAACCGTAAATAGCAAAGAAGTCATATTTTATTGCCCTATAAGTTAAACGTATACATTAACCGACCGACAAAATATATACATTAAGTAACAAAAATAAAGGTAGGCTAGCTGTAAATAAGGATTGCACTGTTTACAAAAACGCTTTTATGAGTCTTGAATATTTACATCGAGCGAAACATTTTTTCTAAGAGAATCAGTCAATAATATACCAATTATCAGAAAAAAAAAAAAAAACAAAAGGGGATATTTTCAGTTGGTATTGTTTTATTTATACTTCCTGTGCTTCACAGTTGAAAGTATTTCATTCAGGTGTCACATTTCAACATAGATGCATAACACACTCTTTGATAACATCAACAAGTCAAGCTTATTTACACAAATTTATTTGCATTGTATTTTACATATCATCATTTACCAATGAATACCATGTTGCGAAAAAATATATGAACTCAGCGTAAAATATTTATACATTGTAAAATACAAATTGTAATAATCTTAAGTTTTAAATTTTTTTTCCCGATCGTTTCATTTGTCTCGGTATGAAAGTATCATCAACAGTTTTTTACGATGAGAATTTACTAAACCTTAAATGTTGTCTACAAATCCTTTAAAACACAGTTTATCTATAGAGTTAATTTAAATTCATTTCTTTAAGCTATTCAAAAATGCGATAGACTGCATTTAATTAAATAAAAGGGTCGTATTATATCATTAAATTTGAATCAATCTTACAGGCACTACTGTGTCACATTGAAGGTGCCATTATGGACACTTCTGCGGATATTTCTTAATTCAAAAATTCACCACTTTCGTGTTTTACTTTTGTATTTCGCTTAAGACGGTGATGGGGTCATGAATTATAACTTGCACTTTTCAGTACCGTCCGTGAACAGGCTGAATCAAACCAAACCTTCAATAGTTTCAATTTTGCCTTCTTGTGCTTTCTTTAGGGATTCTGTTTTTCTCTATTCTATTGTATTCACAATTTTAGAGTGATCTTAACCGAAGCATATTCCTGCTGTTATCCAAAGGGCTTTTACAATTAATAGCTTTAATTACCAATACCAAGCCTATGTTACAAACTTCAGTTCTTTCTTACCTGTCTCAATTCTTAGACATAGAAAAAAGAAATTCATGACAAATATTTTGAATAACTAATAACATTCTTAAATTCAAGGACACTTAGTTATTTTTAGTTTTAAATTTCGCTAAACGGCTTAATCAACAAATATGACTATTTCAGTTTAAAAATGCATTTCAGTTTTCTTGAAAACATACATTAGACGATATAAAATATAATTTATTCTATTGTAATTTCGTACATTTTTATATGAATATAGGACATATCGTCACTTATTATGTAGAAAACAGTAAAATGTTTTATACACATATACATTAAAAGTGTTTTATTATTATTCTAAATTTCCTTTCCCTTGAACATAAACGTTAAGGTATTTTAATGTAGTTGTTTATTTGCTTTACCGTATATTGTTGCTTTGCCATAAACATCAGCTAGCCTTTATGCAAAATCAAATTGCTCAAACGGGAACTTTGTAGTACCAGATAAATAATTAAACTGCTTCTGGGTGCTCATATAAATTGATTTGTGGTGGAAAACCTGTTATCGTAGAGAAATGATTTCAGTAACTTTGAAGTGCAAGTTTATAATGGATGTCTTGAAGTGTTCAAAAGCTCCGAACTGTAGAATAGCAGAATTAAAAATATCACAAAATTAATCTAGAATATTCATTCAATCCATTAGTTTAGGTACAAGGTGTCATAATATTCTAGGTACAATGTGACACAATATTTCGCTTAAAAGAATACATATAAGCAGACATTTCCTTCGTTTTGTGATGGGCAATATGGTCACCTTTTATAAAAAGAAATCAACGTTTCTAATGACATTCCGATTTTCAACATGAAGCATTGCAGAGAGTAATACAAATATAGAAAATAAGAATCCTTAAAGAAAGTCCAAAACAACAAAATTGAAAATGTTGTAGGCTTTGTTTGATTGAGCGTGTTCATGGACGGTACAAACTCTTGCACTGGCTGAAGCAGAATTCAACATTTAAATATGCAATGGTTAGCAAAGTCAGCATCCTTGCACAGACAATAACATCAAAATGATCGCTACAAATATTTCTTCGAATATTTCTTCAAATAATACCAAGCGGTCATGTTCAATTCTGTACGTTACACTAAATCAATCAAGATAACTGATTTATGCGTCAGATGATCATTTGTTTTTGCTTGAAGCCATACATTTACAATAAAATCTTTTGTAAAATTATCATTTAATCTGTATGTAATTTTCTGGTCTTGATGATTAAATGTCAACTCAGCTGCGGAAAGCTGTATTCAACTGTTCACTAGTTGCTTGACAACTGTTTTCATTTCCTTTACCTTATTTTGAAATAATGCTTATTTCCAATGCATTGTTTTTGCATTACTCTTGATTTGTCTGTGGAAAGGATATTCTGTTGCCAATTCCGGCAAGATTAGATAGTGGGTTTTAAGGACTGTCCTTTTCAGACTTGTTTAAATATAATCTGTATTCGCATCAAAACATTATTGTCTGTTTTACAACAGATATTGCACGAGATGTATAACTCTCATCTAATAACAAAAAAGGAAGGTTAGAAAGAACATTTTTACATTATACCAAAACTCAATATAGCCAATTTTTTAAATTGCTTTTATCTATTATTTTAAGTCAAATGTAAAAGAATTATAAAATATGCAGATTTTTTTTCTCACTTTTTTTCCTCTTTTGAAAAAGACACATTTCTGTTTTTAAAAGTATCTTGTCAATATATCTTTTTTAAGATAAAAACATTATAAAGAGCTTTTTGTACTATTTAAATGATTTCAACAATATTTCTATTAACCAGATCAATTGAAAACACATTATTATGCTCTTTTCTCTAAACTCTATATATCAAAACAATTTATTTCTAAACACACCCACAAGTCTATTGAAACACTTCCGCGAATTGCGTGCAAACGTTTCATAATGATGTAATTGTGGTTTCTATGTCATGCTGGTAAATTATCATTAATAGTTTAAATATTAACGGCGATAATAACATCCCTGCGTCATCAGAAGGTAGTAAGACCATACATACAAATAGTGTATGTGCCACTGACTGCTAGATACTAGTATATTATTATTTTGTTTATTATTATTATATTTTTTAATTACTCCGGGACAAATGATCTCGGACATTCCATTCTTATTGTCATTTGTTTCTCACCGTTGATTCTTAAACCATAAGGGATTAGTAGTGGGTCACGTGCGGAGAAACTAGTTATCTAGTTATCCAGGAAAGCGGGTTTGATGGACCGACTGCGCGATTTGAGAGTTTGTCTCTAAAACAAAACATTAATTTTGAGACATTTTTGTTACTATCCAGCTAAACAAATCATGTGTTAAACACTTTAAAATTTTATTCATGAAGCGTAATATTTTCAACGTAAAAAATGGTTTAGAAAAGACATTGCTGGCGTATTAATTTTTAGATCATCAACTTGTCCGATTGAACAAGGCTTCTTCATTGCGGGCTCATGACCTTTATATTATTAAAAGGCACTATCCAGGAAGCTGACTCTATTAATAAAGATTCAAATAAACACCAAGCTATCATTACAATGGAGATAGAATATATATATAACACCTGTAAATGGATCTGATTCCCTGTGAAAAAGGTTTTATAGCTTCCTGTTTGAAGTTAACATAAACTTTTGAGTTGATGTTATGTAAATGCAATATACATAACATGTTATGAATGATTAAACATATTCACCAAAGATAAAGCTATTAATTACTTCCTGTTTTATTCATTGCGAATTTTCAAATTACAGAAATTTAAATCAGTGTGCTAATAAAGATTTATCGTAGAGAGTGCACTGGACTCTATATGAAATTAATTACAAAATGACAGGATTATACCTTGGAATTATTTTTACACCTCTTTTTGCCGGTACGTATTAAAGGACACTTTTCCATCTTGCGGCTACAATAATGACCAACACAAGATCAACTTCCTATTAATTCATGTCTAGAGTATTGTTTAAAATAAAAAGATCAAACAAACAAACATAGCAGTTAAAAAACCCATTAAATGAGAACAAAAGACATAATCATTTAAGTGTATAAAATAACTTAAAGTTGACAAACTGTTGTTAAGTAAGAACAGTCAGAAATTTTATATAAGATATCAAAACGCCATTTCATTATTATATATCATTTCATTTGTCAGATTAAACAAAAAACAATAGCGTTTTATTTTCAAACTACGAGCCTTCGACGTTCGTCTGGTGATCAAAATAACATTATTTTATCATTCTACAAGCTGCAGTGAATGGAGAAAACACACAATGTAGCAAGGATTGTGTATTAGACCCAAACACACTGCAAGATTTATGCAACGATGTAAAAGGTTTGTGTTTTTTATGTTGCAAATCAATTTTTAAACACCGTATTCAATTTTCAAGTGAAAGTCTTCAGTGTTGTTATATTTTTCTTGTCCTTCGGAATCATTGATGCCAGCACTATTAAGTGTTGAGAATTGAGTACCGCTCAAGCCGGTGCTAGGGGGCGTGAGGGATGTTGCACTTGTGCATTGTCCCTCATGTACAGACTCAATCAAACCTAGTCTGCAATTCTTATGTAATTTTGTTGTGATTAATGCTTCCGAGGGATCACTTTGTTTCCAGACGTTTATACTTCACAACAGCAGGTGTCAAGTGCTGTGTGGCAGCTGTAAAAAGTTGCCCCGTACTTCACTTCAGTGTTGTTATATTTTCTCGTCCTTCGGGATCATTGATGCAAGCACTATAAAGTGTTGAGAATTGAGAACGACTCAAGCCGGTGCTAGGGGGCGTGAGGGATGTTGCACTTGTTCATTGACCCTCATGTACAGACTCAATCAAACCGAGTCTGCAATTCTTATGTAATTGTATGTGATTAATGCTTCCGAGGGATCACTTTGTTTCCAGATTTTTTTCTCACTGTTTCAGTGATAATATAACGCGATTTTAACATATGCATCCATATATTTCATTCCATCATTCATTTATCTTTCCCTTAATCATTTGCAGTTGTACAAGTTTTTCAGATATATGTTATTAATTCATAATTATGATGACAAAACATCGCATTTTGTGTCTATAATATCTACTATTATTATTATTATTATGATTATTATTATTATGATAGAAAAACGACTTCCTGGACATTGTTATGACAATTCTTTTCATAATCATATTATGTATCAATTAAAGTCTTAAATGCCGTCCTTCCTTGTTGATCTTGATTTGCATATTTTGTATTCTTAAAGGGTCAGACGAAGGAGACAACACACTTCTTGTATTGGCTATAAGTGGATGGTCATTCTTTGTAATACTTTCGGTGTTTGTTTGTGTCGTAGCAATAAAGGAAGGATTTGTTATTTGTGAAGGTAATTACTTTAATTGTATCCTTTGTATCTAAACAATGAACAAGCGTACTAGTTTATTATGTGTTATTTCTTATAAGGAAGTACAGTGCATTAACATCGTATAATAGAATATTTTGTCGGTGATATCATCTCTCTTTTTTGCGCGCGTTGAAATTTGTATTGGTTTTTGATTCAATCATCATAGCCTTAAAGCATGTCACTATACTGTTATTTGATATTGTTGTTTGTCACTAAAATGTTTTTGAAAACATACTTTCAAAGTCCGCGGGGTTCGCTACGTAAAGTCGGGTAACCAGTAATGCACAACATTTTAGGCTTGTACGCGCAGATAAAGCATCCATTTGGAGAAGTGGGTAAAAACAGTTCGCTGCATCCAGGGAATATACAATTTGGTTTACATTGTACATTCGAATGTACATTGTGTCAGTTTAGTACATGTTAAAAGCCTCGTAACTTTGTCATTAAAACAAAAGTATATCATGCCCCACAAATATAAGTTTCTTTAATACAGGCAGTTACTCACATTAACATGTCCGTGTCTTAACTTGATCAGTTTATATGCTACCTAGAATATTCATGTTTTGCCAAGGTTGTCACTACAAGAAATACGTAGTGACGAAATTCAACAAGTATACATGTTTGTATCAATTACTTTTGATTCATTTATGTAAAAACTTACCAGAATTAAAATGAAATCTATATTAAACGTATGTCTTTGGTCATTGTAGATCGGCGTGAAATCAGGGGCAACGCAGGGGAGGTTAAAGAATCACAAAACAGGTAACGGTGTTTAGAAAGTTATTCGTATCTCATATTAAAGATATTTTTACACCAAAATGTATATCCCTATGTCGTTTTTATTTAATTTGTATAGCTACTTTCACTGCTTTTATATCGTGTAAAATGATATACATGTATATTACTCAAAATTTGATAATATATCATATATATTAAAGAAGCTTTGAAACTAAAACATTCAATTTTGAACTCTCAACTGTAGTTAATCCCCTAAGAAAAAATGGCCCTTTATATTTATTATAAACACACGCCATATAGGTATGTGATTATGTTGTATATATGAATTCATTGCGTTTTAACAAGACGATTTACATTTGTATAATAATGAAAATTAAAAGTTGTGTCCTGTTCAGTTCTGTTCTGATATGATATTTATTATAAAGGTAAGAATTACTTACTTCCTTCTTCATCAGAACAAGTATCTCCTAATGATATCCTTACCCTTAATGCCTGCAATAAAAACTTTCCTTATATCAAGATGAAAGTCATCGAGTAGAGCAGACATCAGTATAGAAGATAATTGGAATGCACGGATGTGAAGGGTCATCTATCTTGTGTTGGACTACTGCCATTGTCTCAGCAATAGGGGTGTTTCAACCTATTCCGGATTTCTGTCAATGGCTTTAATCATATCATCGATAAGGAAACCTAAAACAAGATGCGACGGTATCTTTCCATTAAAACATATGTTTAAAACTGACCAAAGTTGTTTACTTAAATAGTCTGATACGATTTTCTTTTCAATTTCTTAATTAGTTCTCAATCAACATACGAATCTTTAAGAAACGATCAACGTACAGAAATTGTTCAAACACATTATGAACCTCTGCAGATTGAAAAAGGTATAAATAAATGTACCCATTTATCTAATAATATACAATACATGGTATACATGAATTATATATTTTATGTTTTTTTAAAATACTTATTACGATATTGCTATCTCAATCAAGATGCCCGTTTCAAACTTTGTCTGTAGCATTCTTAGAGGGTTTGTTTATCAAGGTTCCTCAAGATAATTTGATTGGCCCCTGTTAGGGGCCGCTAAAGCTGAAAATAGAAACACTCTGTAAACACTTTCTTCTACTGAACTGATATATGGATTATAAGCAAATATTGTTTGTAGCTTTCTTAGCTGTTTACTTTTCAAGTGTGCTCAAATTAACATGAATGGTCCCTTTTAGGGGCATCGAGAGCAAAAATGATTAGAAAAAAACTTTTAAATGGCTTTTCTAAATAAATTGTTAGAAACACTAACTGTTCTTTCTATTTCTTACTATGTTTTGCTTTTTTAAGTCACCAATACTTGTTAACATGAACCACAACTGCCACTTCATGTATTATTTACAAGCAGATGTATGATCATAGAGGCTTCCGTCGGCACCATGTAAAAATCGTCGATTTTAAACCACTTTCTCCTCATCGTTGTAGGCTGTAGGTTCAAATACGCCTGGTCTTTTGGATTCTATCAATCTAGCTAGCATACACAATGGAAGTGGTCCTATTCTGGTGTCCACTCTATCTGAACATATAATTAGGCCTAAAAATAGTTGTGATTAAGGTAACCCTATCTTTCCTCGCAAAATCGTTTGACCCTTAAGTTTTTTTTATGATTTTCTTGGTAAATGTTGGTGAGGTAATTGAATAGCAACCATATCAATGTTTCAGCACGATTCGTTAGTATTTTAGAGTCCGTATCACATTTTCAGCTCGAACAAGAAAAGTAAAGACAAACTGAATTAATCTTAATGCAGTAAATGACATTAAACCACTTTCATTCTGACATCATTTAAAGTATATATAAGCCTACATACCCTACATATTTTAAAAGGACATGTTACCCTAACCACAACATTTTGTTTTGCCTTTATTTTATTTTATTAAAAATTATTATTGTATCATGTTCCATATATCGAAATATATTGTCTTACATAATGCATGATAGAAATAATCAATCTATATACACTTGCTATTTAATATTGATGTTGTGTTGCTTGCATTCTTTGTGAATATCGTTATATGAATGAGGTATACGTATTTTGTATGTTAAATATTTGACTAAAATTCTGGAAACAAAGTGATCCCTCGGAAGCATTAATCCCAACAAAATTACATAAGAATTGCAGACTCGGTTTGATTGAGTCTGTACATTAGAGATAATGAATAAGTGCAACATCCCTCACGCCCCCTAGCACCGGCTTGAGCGGTACTCACTTCAATAAGTCTGAATATTGAAGTTGACTTTATTTGGCAGCTCAACCTTCTGAACACATCGCGTTATCATCTACAAATCAATGTCCAAAATGACAGCAACATCAATATATGAAACGATGACTTACAGTTCAAAGACTTTTTATTCAAATTCAAAACTGGACCATGGTAACAAAGTCTAATATTTTATTGTTTTTATGAAAATTATTATCGGCGACATTAATCAATAAAGCTAGCCCTAACCTCACGAATAAACAATTTGATCAAAGATGATACAATTTGAACAGAAATTTAGCAAAATTGAATAGCATATACAACAAAGTGAATGACTGACTCAATTATTGCATTAAGGATCACCTAAACGAAATTAATTAAGAAGCTTATTTGTTTCCACAATGCAAGTTTTTTGTCAGTTTTATATAATTCATTGTGCCCACATAATCAATTAAACGAGAGTTATTTTATCATCTTGTTATTCACGGTTTTTAATTCTTTGATTTTTGATATTTATGCAAAACGTATAACCACTCTATTAAGTTATTCAAGCTAATTTGAAAAGTGTTGAGATGAACAAATAAGGTATATGATTTCCTTAATGTACCTAAATTGTAAAATGATTCATATGATAACGTTAACACATATCCATGACAATATTTATAAATCTCTTTCAGCTGTTCTTTTGTATATTTTTTTATCATAATCAAAGACTTATATTTAACCTCACATATTCCATAGTTGCTGTTTTAAGGTTCTAAAGTACGTGATTACTTGAAGTAAATTATATAAGCAAGTGGAAAGATTCTAATTAGGTTTTACTGCCCTGAAACTTCAAAGCCTCCATAAGGTCATTCTACTATTAAATGTATGTGTCTACAAAACCCCATTTATTTTTACACAATTTCATTTTTTTATAAAAGCACTGTCTTTTTTCTTAGTTTCCACGTCAATAAGTCTAGTCTTGTATACGTGCCTATGGTTTTATCAATGACTAAGGGCGATTGATACCATATTTCAAATTGTTCGAATTCATAGTGGAATGGTGACTTAATACAAAATTGCAGACACGTCTCCCTCTGTATTGTAATTGAATTTTTACGAACCTTTTCATATAATACCCAATGCACTTCAAAGTCATCAAAGATATGATTCAGACAATTTATAATTCTCAGACATTTATTATGAAAAGGCAAGCGAACTAATGTTACGTATGTACGACATTACATATGACAAATAATCAACATGGAAAAGGCTTGCTTCTTAATGTAAATCATTACAGGCACAACTATTTTAATGCAATATAAGACCAGACTATTTGGCGAAGATTTTACTGCTAAATATTTTTTGATATACAAATAATGAAACAATTAGCCGGGTATTGCCATTAAAATTTATTGCATTGTTTTTAATTACATGTACAATGTAGTTTACGAGTAAAATTAAAAGATATCAATATTGTTAATAGTTAAGGAAATATCAAAAAAGCAAGACAACGTTCATGCAACGGAGCCCCCTATTACAACATCGCATAAGCAAGACACCCGAAACGGCACCGAACTAAATACAGAAGATGGCAAAAAGGCTGTGAGAATAGGGAATGAGCGCAACTATAACTTTAACAACTGTTACTGTCAAATCAATCAGGACATCAAAATAGAAAATACAAAAGAGCACAACCAAATTAGCCGACACGGGCATAAAAAAGAATGTTTTATTGAAAGTGTCATTGCACTTAAGGTTGTTATAATGTTCCTAATGTATTGATCTTGTTTAAGAGTTTAAAGATATGAGCCAAAAGTATGTAAACGTTTTTGTTGCAATATCGTTGTTTCGTACCGAATTACTATTTTGTTCGTCTTTTTCTTAACATCAAAGTCATAATACATATCTAATGTCTAATTTCTTCCCTAGCACAGGCTTGAGCGGTACACAATAAAACCATTAAAATACATTAAACATGCCACAAATGTAATTCTGATAACATGATAAGTTATTGGCATCTGCGCCGAAGCGCGGCACCCCTTTATGGAATGAGAAAGGGCGACAGCAACTTCTCGAGCCTTTTAGTCGGTCATAATAAAAGCCGATCATTCCGATCGGTATGAGGGTGCTTGATTATTATTAATTAAAATTGAAATGAAATGTCGCGATATGTACAATAAATAGCGAACTGGAGGATTTCGCAATGCAAACATTTTCAAATGCGTCTCTTCGGTTTTTTTATTTATCGTTTTGTAGTACACAGTGGGTTATCATGGTATGTTAAAATAGAATGATGAGTTGATGACCTAAATATTCCGAAAATCTATTTTTAGAGGCATGTACTCCTATCGGTAATTCCGGTCTCTCCCGGTCTATTTTGACCGGGATACTAGTGACCGGCGAATAGTATCACACGTTTATTGTCCGGTCTCTCCCGGTTTTGGAGTAGATGTTTGATATCGTTACAGAACAGAACAAATATTTTACAGATAAATAAGCTTTTTTCCAAAATGAATGTTTGTCACTTAGTTTGGTTACAATAATTAATAAACATAGATCAACTCTCAAATTTATTGATTATTATTATACATAAACATACAATTCGAAAAAAAAAAACAATAACAACAACAATAGCATGTTTCATTTTATCTATATGAGATAAAAAAAACAGCAATAAATATGTACAATAATTGTGAAAAAAGGTACATTTTTATGGTTTTAATATGACACTATCAACTTTGAAACATTTTATTTAATTTGTCATTCGTGTTTAGTAAAGATGCCGAGGAATTATTCAAAGTTACAAATTAGATTTTATTAATTATTTAATTGATTGATAATTTAGAAAATGATAAAGAAAAATACAAATGTACTTGTGCATGGTTTAAGAATAAACAATATTATAATTATATTGAAAGATTAACCCATAATTTACTGACTTTTTCCAGTTAAGTTTTGACTTATAATCGTCGGTCAATATGACAAATGAATTTTTAAAATTTATTTTACAATTTCAATAAAAAAGAGTAGTAAACGTAAAAAACTCAGTATTAAAATAGCACATAAAAACACAAAAAAGAGAGGAAAACAATATTCATAAAATCTGTATTATTGTTATTAAAATAGATTGCAATTATTGTATAATAAACAATAATGCTCAACATGACATGGTAATATAACCAGTGTCATATTTTTACTAAGTGTGAACAGATACCTTAAGATGGGGTCTTTGCTAATAGCGATTACATAATAAGGGACAATTCCACAAGTGTGGTGTTGATCATGCGTTACACATATGGATTATAAATGATTGTATACATGTATATATCCGTTGCTATTAATAATCACGATCATAAAGAAATAACAAGTAATATTCTAATCTCTAGCATGCCAATCAAAGTTCATAATTAACAATGTCTTCCGTCCGTTCATTTTGGTAAAAACCAATTAACCATTGAAAAGTTTATAAGAATATCTTGACATCATATGTCTACTATAGTTCATCTTCACTTTTTGCATTTCTCGCTTGGACGCCCTTTGATGCTTTGCATCAATGCTTTTCTTGTCAGTGTCTGTAATGTAACAACAATAAAGATAGTGTTTTTCGACACTGTTTTGCATGGTAATGATGGAAATATATAAAGTATTGTCTTAAAACTATTCCCGAACGTACAATTAAAGAATATATTTTCATATAAGACAATAATCTTTTCCAAATGAAGGTCAAGAGAAGTAATTTATAGTATTATTTCTCTAAATTACATGTAAAAAAAATCAAATATAAACTAAATGAATTAACTAGAGATTACTTTCAAGTTTTCTATGGTTTACAAATGTTATAGCAGTTATATGTATTTACTTGCTGATACCTGACAGATATATAATGAATTAAAAGCTTTCGAATGTAAAAACATAATTAATTACTAAAGTTGAATATGTAAAACAGAAGATTTGTCATAACAGTAGCATTAAATTAAGCACCATTAATTGCTCTGTGTGGATGCCTTAATAAACGATAAAATTAATGAATTGTTTATGTCACGGTTCAGAACTGTTCACTTTTTAGGGGAGAAGATGTGTAAGCGGCCAGATAGCTCAGTCGGTTGAGCCGCGGTACGGTATTCCGAGGGTCCCGGGTTCGAGTCCCGTCAGGCTGCACATTTTTCTCACCCTGTAACATTTGGCGCCCAACGGGGGGCCGTGACTGAATATAGCTCAGAGTTTAATTCATATTGCTCTATAACTCTGTGAAATTCCAGGACGAATTTCAATATAGCAGGGGAGTATGTCACGGTTCAGAACTGTTCACTATTTAGAGGAGAAGATGTGTAAGCGGCGGTAGAGCCGCGGTACGGTATTCCGTACGAGGTCAAGCTGCATATTTTTCTCACCCTGTGACATTAAATAAAAGGCTTAGCGTATTTAGGGCTAGTTTAATCTATTTGTGTGCATACAGTCACCACCATTATATATACAAAACAACGATACATGTTACTTGATACGATATTTTGATACTGATATAAAGATGATAAACTAAATATTAAGAATAAAAACAAAAAGACGGGATAATGTTTTTGAAGCGCAATTTAACGTTTGCTGTCTTGTATAAAACTAAGATCCCTTAGCAGGTAATTGAAAATTCGACCGATGCACAGGAGAGTTGTATAAAACAAATAATACACGAAAATAAAATTGAGATAATTTTGTTGATAATTGACTGAATATACTGCTTTAGACGGTGCTAAAGGACTGAGATAATTATGTTGATAAAGACTGAATATACCGCTTATGACGGTACAAGAGGATTGAGATAATAATGTTAACAAAGACTGAATATACTGCTTTAGACGGTTCTAGAGGATTGAGATAACTATGTTAACAAAGACTGAATATACTGCTTATGACGGTGCAAGAGGATTGAGATAATTATTTTAACAAAGACTGAATATACTGCTTTAGACGGTGCTAGAGGATTGAGATAATAATGATAACAAAGACTGAATATACTGCTTTAGACGGTGCTAGAGGATTGAGATAATTATGTTAACAAAGACTGAATATACTGCTTTAGACGGTGCTAGAGGATTGAGATAATTATGTTAACAAAGACTGAATATACTGCTTCAGACGGTGTTAAAGATGAGTGTGACATGTTAACAAAGTCTGAATATACTGCTTTAGACGGTGCTAGAGGATTGAGATAATTATGTTAACAAAGACTGAATATACTGCTTTAGACGGCGCTAGAGGATTGAGATAATTATGTTAACAAAGACTAAATATACTGCTTTAGACGGTGCTAGAGGATTGAGATAATTATGTGAACAAAGTCTGAATATACTGATTAAGACGGTGCTAGAGGATTGAGATAATTATGTTAACAAAGACTGAATATACTTATTTATACGGTGCTAGAGGATTGAGATAATTATGTTAACAAAGTCTGAATATACTGATTTAGACGGTGCTAGAGGATTGAGATAATTTTGTTAACAAAGTCTGAATATACTGCTTTAGACAGTGCTAGAGGATTGAGACTGGGCGGACCGAACCAGGGCGGACCTTATGTTTGGACAGGGTGGACCATATTTTTGGACAGGGCGAAGCATGACTGGATACGAGGCGGACCGTGCTTGGTTTCAAATTTAATATTGCTTTTTTATTTATTTATTTATCTCTTGATATCAATGTCATAATAAACATGTATATTTAAGCATTTTCATATTGAACAGATTCATATTTAAAAATTTAAACATCTAGCTAGTTAAACATGTATACATTTATCATGTGCGCACGACAGAACCCGAAGGCCTGCTCTTACGGTGACGCGAGTACCTGCTTTTGAAAACTTTCGCCGGAAGTATTGCAAAATTATTTGAAATAGACCAGAATAAAAGCCGAACAATTCTCATTTAAAACGGATGCGTAGACTGGTCTCCTTTGCAATTCAATGGGAGCCATAATAGGAGAGGGAACCAGGATAAAGGAATTAGTGCATAAAATATCGATTTTTGGTTTCCTGTCCTGTTATGGTTCTAATCAATGTTCTCTGATGGGTGGATTCAATTTAAGTATTATATAAAACATTAAATGGCCGTATATAGTGTGTGGTTGTGTTAAGTGCGACCAAACGTGTGCAATCCAAACTGTTCTGAAAACATAAAAGGACTTAATATTAATGTGTAGGTACTATAATTTCTGCCAAAGAGTTCGTTTCGAGGCTTTGCCTTATTCATATTATAACTTTATATTTATTATTATTATTAACATTTACCCATGCAATTTTACGTATAAAACAGCTAGCGTAAGATAGTGAGGAAGGATTAAAAAAAATCTCATAAGTAAAGCATATTTTCCTTCTGCGCTGATGTTGATAAACTTAACTATAATATTTTTATTACCATTCATAACATTTAAGCTGTATAGAAGAAAATTATTTATTATTAAAATTATAGTTAATTCGTTACTATAGGAAAACCAAAAACTAGTTAATATACAATGTATACATATGTGTATCAATTCATATCATGCTCATCTTTGTGTGAATTATTTTTTATTGCTGAAATGTATTGAAATCTATAAAATTCTTACTGGAATATGTCTTATTTGAATTAAATAGCGTACAAACTACATGTATAGGAATCTATGTTTCCTACTACGGGTCAAGTAAAGTTGGGATTTTTTAATGACATTATATATTCATAGTGTGTCCATTTATATTGTGTAGGATTTAAAGCATAAAATATCTGCTTTGTGTGAGTCAAATTATTTTTATTTTATATTTACAAAGAGACTGTTTAGCAATTATCAATGTTTTCAAATATCAAATTTTGAGCATAGCATATCTTTTAGACAAAGCACAAAATACATTTCTAATACAAACTAACTGGTCGAAATTGGGGAGAGGTCAACCAGGAGCATGCAGTCAAAATTGATATTATTATATATGGACAGAATATTTCAACATGACACTTTCTACCAAAAAATCCTTGATCTAACTGCGCAAGCCTTAATGGCCCTGTGTAATTGTGTTATATTATATGCGTATAAATTAATATATCGATAAACATGCGTTTTTTTAAGTTTTGTACATGTTTATATGTTTGTCTGACTTTGTCATCATATAAAATAATAAATAAGTCATCTTTTCTGTGTACGATGCAAATTGTGTCTACCTTTTGTGTCCATGTTGGTAAAGTCACTCATCATCATTTTACGCTATTGTGTTCTATTGTGTTTCAAATGTCACACATGAATAGCAAGCCTTTTCTATATCGTATTGTTAAAGAAGTTTTACCCTCTTATTATTTAATGTAATGTCCAAATAATTGGTCAGTTATCACCTGCATAATGTCCAACACGATGCAGTTAGTAGAATTATAATTTCATTAAACAAATTTATTCTACATTAATATATGTATATTTTTTATAATACTATTACAACAAAAAAGAAGAAGAAAAAACAACATTCTAGATAACACTATCGGAAATGTTTCTATATAAACAAAGAAGGCCCGAAGCGTGCATTGTTCTACATCAATGCACTCGCCGTTCTTATTATCTCACTGTGTATTTTCACATTGAGGGCGCCATTTTGTTTAAATAAAAACAATTTTTTTGTCGAATTTGGTTGTGAAAACTACCTAGAATGAAAGAAAATGGTCTAACTATAAAAATGAATCCGAACACCAATATCTTTAATTCAGTCGTTAACGCTGTACAGACGTTTATTTATTTAAAGTGCTGTTTACGTGACATCACAATGTAGCGCCAAACATCACGTGCAAAACAATCAAATCAAGTACGCTATTTTAATGTCGCAAACGAGTTAATTTTTACATTTATTTCACTTTTAATAATTTGTATTTCGCTTGAAAAGTTATAGAGTGAAATAAAATAAACAAACAGAGTTTTATCAACGTTTTCAAAATTCGTTTTTCTGAAAATGTTTCTACACGGTAGATTTAACGACAGTTTTGTTTCAACCCACTGGAACAGCCTTTAAAGAACGTTTCTATTGGAAATTCTGAGGTAAAAACCAAACATAAAGTCCAACTTAACAATAATTATTATATTTTTTCTTAACGTGATAGAATGGAAATAGATATTAATTCTTCGTGCATTATATATAGAGGATATTGAATGAGTGTTAGTTCAATACTGAATTTATTGCACGAGTTGAATAAAATAATATTATGTGAGCCTCTGGCGAGCATAATATTATTTTATTCAACGAGTGCAATAAATTCAGTATTGAACTTACACGAATTTAATATTCTATTTATCACATACCCAAAATAAAGACCATTTAAAGTGAAATAAGAGTCATTTTTCATTGACGCGCCTATAGTATAACGCTAACATTTAGCGCGTCTTTACACTATGTTTGTATTACGCTAATGACGTCACGTCAAAATATATGCACGGCCGTGCGATACCATACCTATTTACGGAGTCGCAAAATCGGCACGGGTGTGTGATAATGTATAATAATGCACGTTTTTCGTTCAAATGCTTTGTAATTGATCACTCAGGCCTATCGGCCTTCGTGATTATATAACTACGCATTTGAACTCAAACTGTGCATTATTCTACAACAATGCACTCATAATCTATTTCCTAAACAAAACACAGTCCGACCTGTCTCACGGTCCGTCCTGTCCGTAAATTAGTTTTCAGTACGCATGCGCTATAAATTTGGAAAAATATCAGTATGGCGGAAAAAAGTCCTGGGTAATATTTTCTCAAAATTTGAAGAAATTGCAGTAAGTACCTTGTGAATTTTGAAACCAATAAGTAAATTATTTCGTACTTAGATGAAATGATAACATAATAAACAAAAATAAGTAACTCGGCCAGGTAAATTACCAAAGTTTTTTCAATTGAAAACGAAACTAGGAAGTAAAATAAATTTTGGGGTATTTCCGCGTTTTAAAATGCAACAAGCATTAATCAGACTATTGTAAAGCTCTTCTTCAAATGAATTCCTTATATTAATTGATGATTGTAAAACGGCCAGTCCTATTGTGTGTGGGTAGGATTATCAAAACGCGTGTGTACCGAAAACGAAAGTAGAAATGGCAATCACCCCTATCCTCGAGTGTCCAGTTTCGACGCCCTTAAGGATTGTTTTGGATGCGTCTATAAAAACCATGTGATTGTATTGTATAAAATGTTGTAAGTTTTTAAAAAATCTCTTACCTTCATGAAATGGGTAAATTTAAGCTGTTTTTCCAGCTATTCCTTTTCTAGTCCTAATTATAAGACCTATACGTAACCTATTTCATATTTATCATTCATTAATCTGATATTTTACATTTTTCATTTTCCATGTTACATTAGGTCGTAACAGATCACTGCAAAATCGTGTAGCAAAAAAATTGACATTAGACATCGATTTAGATCTAATGAATTTAAACAATTAAAACAGCGTGTATTCACATTAATTTTGACCTATTTATGAACAAAACTAAAAAATAAATACCTTTTTACAAAATAATTGAACTGTCACATCCGAAAAGTCATGATTAAATCCTCTCATTTAATTAAATTCCTTGTACAGCCAATATACAAATGGCCGCCATACAGTGCGCGAAATCTGATTGGCTAATTCAAATGCAAGCGTTTAAATGAGTCCAGAAGTTTCTAAAGGAATATTTTTTCAACGAAATAATTGCCCATGCACCGTCAGTGTGTTCGAATATATTTTTCCGTTCAAAAAATTGGAATCAATCTGTAAAACGCTTTACTTAACCAATATGGCCGATGAGCGAAATAGACTGATACTGGATGTATATTTTATTTTTAATTGATAAGTACATTGTTTTAAAGTTTTTGTTAATGATAGACCATGCATTTGAAAGAACAGAAGATAAGCTCTTGAATAAAGCTTGAAAGGCAAGTCAACAGACATTTTTTTAAATTTTCAAAATGCTACGCGTTTTTGAGCAATAACTATTAGACGTCAGGCTTGACCAACATAAAACTATAACAAGCCTGTAACGTCTAATCTATTGGACTATTCCTTTTCATGAACAATCCTACTTTGACTTCATCCATAAGTGCCATTTTTATTGAGTGTGCCATTGATTGGTTTTAATTACACACTACAGGAGACAGTACACCATAATACTTTTACTTACGTTGTTCATCAATATCATGAGCATAGACCTGCAAAGTATCAACCAGTGAAAACTAGTTTATCTCAGTGTTTTTTTCTTTATATAACTACTACCCTAAAACGGTATTGTTCCCAATAGAAAATAGACATTAAAATTCCCAATTTCCAATGTTAAAATTCCCAAAATGGCTTTTCAAATTCCCACAAGGCCAAGTGATTTCTCTGAAATCATTTAAATCAAAACATATTCATATAAATCACCACTCAATAACTATTGTACAGGTAGAATTTTAGTTCTACCTGTAAAGGAGAAGCTGTTAGCTGTCTTTATTCATGATGACCAATCTTATTTGTAGCTGAAAAAATGCATAAAAAAAATCCCAATTTAAGTCAAAATAACGCATTTTTTCCAAATCAGTCTGGTACCGGCACCATTCCCAAAGTAGAGAAAAAAAATGCTGTATCTATTCTTTATTTCTTTCATAAATGAAGCATAATTATAATATTATGCGGTAAAATGCTATTGTTGTATTTTTACAGTGGTTTTAGATGGTTGCCCTAGTCTGTTTGACCTCCACTGCTGAAAAAATATAGGTTGGAAAATAGCACCTTTAATCTCTTTGTCTAACCTGCGAAAACAAAAAAAACAACACTTATTGCAGCAACTAATTAAAATATGGAAATTCATTACATTCAAACAAGATAAACATATCCAATTAATTTTTAATTAACATTCATTCATCGATTAATAACCGTAAAAAAACACATACTGGTTTCCTAGGAGTTTCCGTCCCCTAGCAGTTTTCCGGACGTTTATCATTTTCGTTCAGTACAGTCTATTTTTACCAGTAAGGCATCAACATTACTTTATCAATCAGAGAGACATTTGTTTTCTTTGCTAAACAGCATTTAAAATAGTAAAACGATTGAAATATTTTGAAATTTTGCCTGTTATTTAATGTTACATAAGAGAACTTACGACTTTCAAAAATAAGCAACACCTGGGGAATTCTAGTTTGAATATCCATGCACAATAAGTAAGACCCCATTTTAGGTAAATCAATACTTCGGAAAAAAAATTTCAGACGACACGGAAAAGGTTGGGAAGTTCTGTTTGTCTGATGAAACCATCTTAACGTTGCTTCATGGTACTGAACTATATTCAAAATAAAAAAGGTCCGGAAAACTGCTATGAATTTTTTAATAAAAGTGAAAAAAGGTGTTACACTTCAGGCCTATATTCAAATTTAAAAGTAAAATGAAAGTGCAACATTAAACACATGGCAATGCTGGACAGGTACCTAATATTGTCCTGTCAAAGTTTTGTACCCCTCCGTAGACTGATTTTTATTTTATTTGTTAAAAAGTGCGATTTGTGGCCGGAAACTGCTAGGAAACCAGTACAGGTTGCTTTAGGGTGAAAAAATGCGCCCAAAACAACACTATGTATATAATTATAGACAAGGGGCATTACTCAGTTAATAGAGAATTTTCGACCACCCACAAAGTCATGCGAGATTTTCGTCTAATTAAATAAAAAATTTCCACAAACTATACTGTGTTGCATAGCTTATTCAATCAACAATTGATAAACACTAACTCTATTCTGATTCCCTTAACCCACTTTAAGAAATTTATTCCAATCTGTTAACTTCTGTCACAAAATTGCTTAGTCGTACGAGATGTCGCAACACCAAATTCTTCAGGTGAAACATAAATTTAACAAGAGCCATGTCAACATGGCCATCCCCCACCGAATGTGTTTGCTCATTGGAAGAATGTATATGTAGTAGAGCGGAATAATTCCATTTTAAGAGGTCTTTTGGTAATGAAAACTGATGGCTATAGTGATTACAGATTTGAAACCTATGTGAATACTGATGGCTGAAAATAACAAAGGGCAATTACTGAAAAGTAATGCAGGGTAGGTTATCATTCTTGTGTGCTGCATCCCTCCTCAGTAAAATCTATCCACCTATGAAGTTTCAAGTTGATACCTCAAATACTTTTTGAGAAAAAAATTGAATTGAAAAATTAAGTATGAAAAAGAACAAAGGGCAATAACTCAAAAATTATAAAAGGTAGAGTTATCATTCTTGTGCAGTGCACACCTCCTGAGTGAGATCTATGAAGTTTCATTTTGATATCTCAAAGGCTTTTTGAGTTATGCTCTGGACAAAAATTAATTTTGAAAAATAACAAAGGGCAATAACTCAAAAATAATGCAGGGTAGAGTTATCATTCTTAAGCACTGCACTCTTCCTCAATGAGATCCATCCACCTTTGAAGTTTCAAGTTGAAACCTCAAATACTTTTGAGATAAGCTCTGGACAAAATAGCATAAAAAAAAACAAAGGGCAATAACTCAAAAATTGTATAGGGAAGAGTTATCATTCTTGCGCACAACATTCCTCCTCAATAAGATCTATCCACCTATGACATTTCATGTTGATATCTGAAACACTTTTTGAGTTATGCTCCACTCAGGTGAAAAATTAGGTATGAAAAATAACAAAGGGCAATAACTCAAAAATTATGAAAGGTAGAGTTATCATTCTTGTGCCCTGCACACCTCCTGAGTGAGATCTATGCACCTATGAAGTTTCATGTTAATATCTCATAGGCTTTTGGAGTTATGCTCTGGACAAAAATCAATTTTGAAAAATAACAAAGGGCAATAACTCAAAAATCATGCAAGGTAGAGTTATCATTCTTGTGCATTGCACTCCTCCTCAATGAGATCTATCCACCTATGAAGTTTCAAGTTGATAACTCAAATACTTTTAGAGATATGCTCCGGACAAAAATGTCGGACGGAAGGACGGACGGACGGACGGAGACTATTTGTATATCCTCCGCCGAAATTTTTCGGCGGGGGATAAAAAGGGGGAGGTACAAATAAATGCATGCAAACAATAACACAACATAGTTTCTATTACCTACCTGCACAAATGGTCGTGAAGCGCTCTACAATCGTCTGTTTCGAAGGATTCTTCAAATCAGTGCAGAAATATGCTTTGGCGAAGACATTTTGGAAGCTCTGGTCAATTGATAAAGATGGTGTACATGTATTGAGACCTTTCATTGGTTCTCGCTCAAGGCAATATGGAATGAAAGGTTTCGATACACAGGCTTTATCAAGTGACCAGAGTTTTCAAAATGTCTTCGCGGAAGCAGATTTATGCTTGCAATTTAAGATAAAGATATGATATTATTACCCTTCCAGATTGTTTCCGCCTTTTTGATTGGATATTGATCACCCGAAAGAAATTGATATAACCGAGCCAGACGGGTAATATACACACTAAATTTCCCCGTTTGGTACCTAACGTTGTAAACAACATGCGCTGAGGTGATGCGCGTACGGTTCGATTTTACGCGGTGTAAATTCCGATTTAAAAGCACTTTTTAACTGTCAAATGATCAATATTTACCAAAGTAGAGTAATGATACATATTACCATCAGTATCGAAAACAAATATGACCTTGTGAAAGCTTGATATTAATTACAAAAAAGTGCGTTCAATAGACTACTCCTTTTCTCTTGTTTACTTTCGTAAGGTACGGGAAAAATACGTCATGTATTTATGTGACGTCATGTTGTGATGAAGAGGTATCCTAAAGGGAATCTTATTTCGACGTTTCATTTGAAGCAGCAATGATTTTTTAAAAAATCGTCTAAACTCGGCAGGGGAAGGGTAATAAAATTATTATTTTGGTTTTGGAGTGATATATGTGGATATATTACCTGCCAAGATAAAATATCACCCTCGCCTGACGGCTCGGGTGATATAAAATCTTAACAGGTAATATATGCACATATATCACTCCAAAACCAAAATAACATATAATATTTGTTGTCTACATTTTATTTTTAGGGTATAATTTTGTTGAATTTTCATCCATCGTATTATTTAAAAAATATATATATATATAGCTTTAATGGAGTATACATACTGTATTTGTGTATATTTTATTTCAAAACACAATGATACGAAAATTTATATTTGGGTAATATACTATGTTCTATCAATTTTAGTGAAAATGTATATTGTAATTCATAATTAAGACAGCACTTTTTAGTACAAAACATTTATCTTACGTATATTTGGGCAATATTTGGGTAAATTTTTGCAATATTTTGGTATATTTTTGCAATATTTGTGTGTATTTGGGTATATTTGGGTATTTCATTCTGCCCCCTATGTTTATTCACGGGGGCTTGACATTCTATCAATAATTGAAAAATATGAGCAAATAATTAGAAAATAAAGGTAAATATACCCCTCTATACAATAAATAAGCATATTGACTACTCAATTAAAATATTATTCAATTATACACAAACACAATGTATGTATTGAAAATCAATTTCAACAAACCTGGTATACAAAATTATACTGAAAACCTTGGGCTAAACTCCGTTTTCCGGTACTTTCTGTACATACCTCTGGGGAATTTCATCAAATGGAGTGTAATATTAACAAATTCTATGTTTTTATCCTTTTTTAAATTAAAGGGAAATAAAACAATAATATTATTTCTTAATTTGTAAGAAAATAATTGAATTATTTTAAGTTCTTAAAATAACTACTTAGGACACTGAAACTTGTTATTATATTACTCGGATGACTTCTGACTTTTGTCGGATTCAGCCGAAGAATTTTCGTAGTTCTATTTTTAATTACGGTTACCAAGCATTGATCACAACATCATAACAACTTTTCATTGGTCATAGGAGTTTGATTTCCTACGCTTCTAGTACTTATACTGATTACTTACCATTTATCATTGCTATTAGTATTTTTCGTGTCGCTTTGAAGTTTCAAATTTCCCGCCCTCCCACCGCTCTTTGTGTGAATTGATATTTTAGTTCATACCTGTATTTTTTGTATCATGTTTCTATAGTTCGAGTTGGTGTAATTTGTGTAGTACATGCGGATATTTGAATATCTTTGCAGTCATTTGATGATATTTAATTACTGGATATAATTGAGTTTACTTACTTCTTGTTTGCGACACTTAGGACAACAAATTTATTGTATTTAATATGTTTTGTTGTTATTTCAAAGGAGTAATTAAATATCATTATATGAATTATTCCATAAAAAAATAAAGTAAATACACAAGTTCATGCAGAAAATATCTCTATTTATTATGGAAGATGCCACTACTGTACGACTGATTTAATTTTATTGATTTTCATTATAAACATTTTATTTTTTGAAAAATTTGCAATATTGGAGGAATACTGATAATTTAAAACAGGTCAATTTTTTCACCTAGAACGGTAAAACAATGATAGAAAAATAGAAATATCATGAAATTGTATTAAGAACTGGTTGGTGTTATTCCTAATTAAGAGCTTAATCTATAATGTACCGGAAAACAATGTTTAGCTAGGTTTTCAAAAAGGTCAATAATTACCACCCCTGAAATTTTAGATCAAAGCATTACATAATCATATATTGCCAATGTCAGCAAAATATTATGACTGGGACCCCGTTATTTTGATGGGCGAGGGAGGTGGGGGCCAATTGTGAGTGAAAAGCAAATGTAGGGGGGTTTTCACAGGACTATTGAAAACACTTTGAAATAAGGTTTTATAAACAATAAGACACTCTTATAGATGTAAATGATTTAAATGATTAACACAGATTTTTATTTTACTCAGATCTTCTGTCAAACTGAAACAAGAGGGCCATGATGGCCCTGAGGTCGCTCACCTGTATATAGGCCCCCCCCACACCGGGCCAATTTTTACCCAAGGGCTTTTATTTGTTTATTTGAACAGACTTTGTAGACACCCATAAGAAGATGTTTCATGCTAAACATCTAAGTTGTAGCTCATTGGGTTTTTTAAAAGAAGATTTTTAAAGTTTTTACTATACACATATAGTTAAAAACAATGACACCCCTGGGGCAGGCCAGTTTTGACCCCTGGGCTTTTATTTGAACAAACTTTGTAGATATTTACTTAAAGATGTTTCATGCTTAATATCTAAACTCTAGCTATTTGGGTTTTTTCAAAGAAGATTTTTAAGTTTTTGCTATACACATACATGTATAAGGAAAATCAATGACCCCCCCCCCCGGCGGGGCCAGTTTTGACCCCAGGGCTTTTATTTGAACATACTTGGTAGACACCCATTAGAACATGTTTCATGCTAAATATCTTAGCTCTAGCTCTTTGAGTTCTTTAAAAGAAGATTTTTTAAGTTTTTACTATATGCATATAGGGAAAATCAATGACCCCCCCGGGGGGCCAATTTTGACCCCAGGGCTTTTATTTGAACAAACTTGGTAGACACTCATTAGAAGATGTTTCATGCTAAATATCTTAGCTCTAGCTCTTTGGGTTCTTTAAAAGAAGATTTTTTAAGTTTTTACTATATGCATATAGGGAAAATCTATGACCCCCTGGGGCGGGGTCAATTTTGACCCCAGGGCTTTTATTTGAAAAAACTTGGTAGACATTCACTAGAAGACATTTCATGTCAAATATCTAAGCTCTAGCTCTTATGGTTCTTTAAAAGAAGATTTTTTAAGTTTTTACTATATGCATATAGGGAAAATGAATGACACCCCGGGGCGGGGCCAATTTTGACCCCAGGGCTTTAATTTGAACAAACTTGGTAGACACTCACTAGAAGATGTTTCATGCTTAATATCTTAGCTCTAGCTCTTTGGGTTCTTTAAAAGAAGATTTTTTAAGTTTTTACTATATGCATATAGGGAAAATCAATGACCCCCTGGGGCGGGGCCAATTTTGACCCCAGGGCTTTTATTTGAACAAACTTGGTAGACATTCACTAGAAGATGTTTCATGCCAAATATCTAAGCTCTAGCTCTTACGGTTCTTTAAAAGAACATTTTTTAAGTTTTTACTATATGCATATAGGGAAAATCAATGACCCCCCGGGGAGGGGCCAATTTTGACCCCAGGGCTTTTATTTGAACAAACTTGGTAGACACTCACTAGAAGATGTTTCATGCCAAATATCTAAGCTCTAGCTCTTAGGGTTGTTTAAAAGAAGATATTTAAAGATTTTTCTTTCGGTTGCCATGGCAACCAGAGTTCTGCATGGAATTAAATTCTTTGAACAATTTTCAAAGGTGACCACCAAAGGAACATTCCTGTGAAGTTTGGATGAAATTGGCTCAGTGGTTTATGAGGAGATGTCATTTAAAGCAAAAGTTTACGGACGGACGACAGACGTACGGACGCCGGATGAAAAGCGATCACAAAAGCTCACCCTGTCACTTTGTGACAGGTGAGCTAAAAACAAAAACAAAATTTCCTGCAATGATAATGACAAAATTATTTTCTGCTGATGATTGCCGACATGCCTCTTTGATGAGATAAAAAGTCTGCCAGGTCTTTTGAACTTTGTCAAAATAAATTGATTAAATGTCTTTGTGTGATTTTTATTTCAGCAAGTCTACTGTATATCATTGTTTGTTTTATTCACCTGAGCACAAAATGTTCAAGGTGAGCTTTTGTAATCACAATTTGTCTGGTGTCTGTCATCCGTCAGTGCTTCATTCAGATGGTTACAAAGCTCTTAAGTCTAAACAATTCATATAAAATTTTAACAAAATTTTTTGTTTGTTTGTTTAGATATTGGTAGTTTATCAGGATGGCACATCAACTTCAGTTAGAGAAGGAAAACTACAGACAGTGGGTAAAGGCTGGTTTAGGACTTGTATATTTAAAAGAGGGACTGGTACCATTTTGTAATGACATAGCTGACCAACAACATAAGGATATCTTACAGAACATTAGGTCTTCAAAATCATTACCATCAACTGCGACATGTGGCAGCTGTCAAGTTGATACTCTAAAACCAGACCATAAGTCAGTAGGGACTGCTGGAAACAAAGTTTGTCCTCTTGGGCAAGTAAGATGCAGCTGTTGCTTTACTAAGGGCAAAACTGCTTGTCCAAACAAAATATGTGGCGCCATCTATGACTATATTGTGCAACATCATGCATCTTCACCACCTTCACCTAACTGGAAAAACAGCGATGCTCAAAAGTGGTCGATAGACCTTTGGAGCATTTGTCAGTGTTTTATAAATGCTCCAGGGTACGAGCAGAAGCAATCTGCCAGTGAAACTGATTGTACTGGGTTATTACATCTAATAATAAATAACCAGTATTTTCATAACCACATTGCATGCAATGTCACAGGAACAAACAACCTGTTTTCAAAGGTAAATCATTATTAAAATTTCTCTTACTTATCTTTAATCAGCTCTATTGTAATGTTAATGATGTATATTCAGCATCAAAGTAACAGAGAAAATATAAATTTAACTATGAAGGTAATGGAGTAATTCACTAATGATTGACAACAAATGTATAAAAATTTACCAATCGTTTTTATTGCAGAATTTGATGTAACAATTCACAAGGCTTGTGGTTAATATTTACTGTAAACATGTACAAGTGTAGATTTGTATATTTTCCCCCTATCCCATGGGTCCATATAAGGCTCCATTCCCAATTCATTTTTAGCTCGACTATACGAAGTATATGGAGAGCTGTCCTACTCGCCCCGACGTCGGCGTCCGCGTCCGGATTTTAGATTAAAGTTTTGGTGCAGTAAAATATTTTTCACTATAACTTTGTCATTTCTTAAGGTATCAACTTCAAACTTCAAATATATGTTCCTTATCATCAACCACATCTTATTTGACAAGGTTTATAACTCTAGCACCAATATTTTCAGATTTATCTCCCCTTGAACTTAGAATTTTCCATAAAAAATATTATTTTTAACCCACCTGTCAGGGCCAAAGAACCCTTCTATGTAGAGGCCGAATATAGGCTGCTTCCCCAACCAAACTAGCCTCTTTTTTTCCCCAGTTTGGTCCTCAAAATTCCCCAGTCTTTTGAAATTTCCCATAGAATTTAGAACAAAATTAAATGATGTTGTTGAATTAGGGTCTTTTACTGCCTTATTAGTTTTTCCCAGTGCTTTTTGCTTTTCTATTTTGAAGAACTTGTTAAAATTTTGTGTTAAATTTAAGACCCCTTTTCCCAAAATATGCCAAAATCACGCATATTTCCCCAAGAAAAAGGCTGAGGCCCCTTCCCCAAAAATGGTGTTTTGGCCCTGCCTGTCACAAAGTAACAGGGTGAGCTTTTGTGATCGCTTTTCGTCCGGCGTCCGGCCGTCGTCCGTCCGGCGTCCGTCCGTAAACTTTTACTTTAAATGACATCTCCTCATAAACCACTTGGCCACTTTCATCCAAACTTCACAGGAATGTTCCTTTGGTGGTCACCTTTAAAAATTGTTCAAAGAATTTAATTCCATGCAGAACTCTGGTTGCCATGGCAACCGAAAGAAAAAACTTTAAATATCTTCTTTTGAAAAACCATAAGAGCTAGAGCTTAGATATTTGGCATGAAACATCTTCTAGTGAGTGTCTACCAAGTTTGTTCAAATAAAAGCCCTGGGGTCAAAATTGGCCCCGCCCCAGGGGGTCATTGATTTTCCCTATATGCATATAGTAAAAACTTAAAAAATCTTCTTTTAAAGAACCCAAAGAGCTAGAGCTAAGATATTTAGCATGAAACATGTTCTAATGGATGTCTACCAAGTTTGTTCAAATAAAAGCCCTTGGGTCAAAATTGGCCCCGCCCCGGGGGTCATTGATTTTCCCTATTTGCAAAGAGTTAAAACTTAAAAAAACTTCTTTTAAAGAACCCAAAGAGCTAGAGCTAAGATATTTAGCATGAAACATGTTCTAATGGATGTCTACCAAGTTTGTTCAAATTAAAGCCCTGGGGTCAGAATTGGCCCCGCCCTGGGGGGTCATTGATTTTCCCTATATGCATATAGTGGGGGGTCATTGATTTTCCCTATATGCATATAGTAAAAACTTTAAAAAATCTTCTTTAAAAGAACCAAAAGAGTTAGAGCTAAGATATTTAGCATGAAACATGTTCTTATAGGTGTCTACCAATTTTGTTCAAATAAAAGCCCTGGGGTCAAAATTGGCACCTCCCAGGGGGTCATTGATTTTCCTTATATGTGTATAGCAAAAACTTAAAAAATCTTCTTTGAAAAAACCCAAATAGCTAGAGTTAAGATATTAAGCATGAAACATCTTTTAGTGAGTGTCTACAAAGTTTGTTCAAATAAAAGCCCTGGGGTCAAAATTGGCCCCGCCCCGGGGGTCTTTGATTTTCTTTATATGTGTATAGCAAAAACTTAAAATCTTCTTTTAAAAAACCAAATAGCTAGAGTAAAGATATTAAGCATGAACCATCTTCTAGTAAGTGTCTACAAAGTTTGTTCAAATAAAAGCCCTGGGGTCAAAACTGGCCCGGCCCCAGGGGTGTCATTGTTTTTAACTATATGTGTATAGTAAAAACTTTAAAAAATCTTCTTTTTAAAAGCCCAATGAGCTAGAGCTTAGATGTTTAGCATGAAACATTTTCTTATGGGTGTCTACCAAGTTTGTGCAAATAAAAGCCCCTGGGTTAAATTGACCCTGCAACATGGGGGGGGGTGGGGGTTGGGGGGACTATATACAGGTGAGCGACCTCAGGGCCATCTTGGCCTCTTGTTTACTGTTACTTATTTATTTCTAAAGGGATCAACTTCATACTTCAAATATATTTACGTTATCATCATCCACATCTTATGTGACAAAGTTCATAACTGTAGCACCAATATTGTAAGAATTATCACCCCATAAACTTAGATTTGTTTACTAGAAAAATGTTATTTTTTATTATAACTTTTTTATTTTTAAAGGTATCTACCTCAAACTTCAAATATTTATTCCTTATCATCAATTACATTTTATGTGACAATGTTCATAACTCTTGAAGCAATATTTACAGATTTATCTCTCTTTGAACTTAGGATTTTCTTTAAGAAATATAATAACTTCTTTACTTTTTAAGGTATCTAGTTCAAACTTCAAATATATATTTCTCATCATTACACAAATGTTGTGTGACAAGGTCCATAACTCTAGCATGACTATTTCTAGAATTATTCCCCTTGATCTTGGAATTAATGTTAACAAATGTTATTTTTTTACTATAACTTAATACATAATTATACATAATTGATTTTTCTTTCATAGTTTTGTCCTCCTTACTGCGTCCAGTATTTTATTAGTCGAGCTTCGCTGTCTCCTGTGACAGCTCTTGTTAGCTCACCTGTCACAAAGTGACATGGTGAGCTTTTGTGATCGCTTTTCGTCCGGCTTCCATCTGTCTGTAAACTTTTACTTTAAACGACATCTCCTCATAAACAACTAAGCCAATTTCATCCAAACTCCACAGGAATGTTCCTTAGGTAGTCAATTTCAAAAATTGTTCAAAAAATTTAATTCTAAGCAGAACTCTGGCAACAGAAAGAAAAAACATTGAATATCTTCTTTCAGAAAACCGTAAGATCTAGAGCTTAAATATTTGGCATGAAACATCAACTAGTCAGTGTCTACCAAGTTTGTTCAAATTAATGCTTTGGAGTCAAAAATGGCCAAATCCCGGGGGGTCATTGATTTTCCTTATTTGTATATAGTAAAAACTTAAAAAATCTTCTTTTAATGCCCAAAATAGCTAGAACTTAGATATTAGTCAAAAACTTGAAAAATATTTTTTTAAAAAGCCCAAATAGCTAGAGCTTAGATATTAAGCTTAAAACATCTTCTATTGGGTGCTACCAAGTTTGTTCAAATAAAAGCCCTGGGGTCAAAATTTGCCCCGCCCAAGGGGGTCATTGTTTTTCACTTTATGTATATAGTAAAAACTTAAAAAAATTATTCTTTAAAAAAACGCTTACAGCTGCTGGAGCTAAGATTTATAGCATGAAATGTCTTCAAATGGGTGTCTACCTTTTTTTCAAATTAGGGCCATCGGGTTAAAATTGGCCCCGCCCGGGGATCATTGATTTTCCTTATATGTATTTAGTAAAAACTTAAAAAAAATCTTCTTTTAAAAAAGCCAAAGAGCTAGAGTTTAGATATTATAATAAAGCATGAGTGACTACCAAGTTTGTTCAAATAAAAGCCTTTGGGATAATATTGGCCCCGTCCTGAGGGTGGGGGTCATTGTATTTCCCTATATATATATATATATATATACTGTATAGTAAAAAATAAAAAAAAATGTTCTAACAGCTAGAGCTTAGATATTTATCATGAAACATCTTCAAATGGGTGTCTACAAAGTTTGTTCAAATAAGAGTCATTGGGTTAAAATTCGCTCACTGTTTTGGACGTTTTGGACATCTTTAATTTCTGATCGGTTTCAATAAGATTTATTTAGCTTTGTTAAAAGAATTTTAACATCTTGAATTATTGCTGGCATATTTTTCCCAAATGATAAATTTCACAATTAATTTTTTGTCCCAAATTGAAAAGAAAATTAAAGACACAATTATCCCAAATTTGCCATGTGGCATTTTCTAAAAATATAGGTATAATTCATAATTGCATCTTATATGTACGGTAGGTAGGTACGCAAACAATTTTCAACAAAACAATTAGTATTGCTTAACACTGTATATTTATTAATAGAACAATATTGGACTTGTGTTTTCTATTTGATAGGTGCGTCAGTATAGGAATGATATTTTTCACTCAAGTAGTATGGAATTAAAAGAAAGTGAGGCAAATTCCTATATTGACGATATGATAGGACTTCTACAAGATGGTAAGGAGCTATTTCAACGATCAGATGCCCAAATAGCGGTGAAGAAACTTCAGGATGTAAGTTAAATACTGAAATATGTCAGTTTGAAATCTAAATGAAGTGAAGATATAATAATTTAAGATAACAAGCCTCTTAATTTAGGACAAAGTTTAGGTAACAAAGTTTGAACTGGTAAATTATAGTCAAATTCAAAAGATAATTTCCTTAAGATAATTGAGAAAGTCACATAAAGTCACATTAACATACATAATTAATATGTACCTTTTAACTGTTACAATATAAAGAAAAGAGATCTAATTGATTGTACACTGTAACTTACAAAATCTGAAAACTTCTAAAATCAAAACAATTTTCAGTTTTCCGAAATTTTATATAATTCATACCTTTGAATTTCAGAACTTCTTAATTCTGAATTACAAAAAATTTTGTGTTTAAGTTTGGATAATATCAATTAGATATTTACTTCTAATATCCGGAAATTGAAAAAGGGTGTGAACATGGTGAAGGTTTATTATACTTAAAACCTGCAAAACATTTGTATCTTCAAATTAGCTGTGACCTGTATAATTCATACCTCTGAATTTTCGTACTTGTAAATTGTGAAGTCTAAACGATTTTGCAAAATGCAGTGTCTGTTCTAGGATTTGAAAAACAGGGAGAAGTTTTATCGAAAAGTGAAAATTTATTACATTTGTTTTTTTTTCTTCTTTCTCTATGTAAACTTTTCCCCCTGCCTCTGACAAAATAGGGGGGAATTCTCAAAAATATGTGTGAATCCCCCCATCCCCCTCCTAGAATAGGCACTGAAAATGTAAATATCTTCCAGTTAGCTGATACAACCATATATCTTGACCCCTATTAGAACTTCAACCAGTCAAGCTTTTAAGTGTGAAATAAGATAATGAGAAGTATTTAATTTATATGAAATCCAGAACCTACTAAAAATTCAAACTTTTCGGCTCGTTTCTGGTAACACTGAAATATAATTATGTAGAAATGAACAAAAGTAAGAAAATAAGTGGCTGATAAGCCAGATACCTATACCAAACACCCTGTTATAAAGGTAGAATTAAGATGTCCACTGAAAAAGTGTGAGAGTTAAAAAAAAGCAATTCAGATAATTTTGTAATGAAGTTTGACCTTATATATAATGTTGTGTATTATAAATCCCTTAGCTTCATATTTTTCTCCAAAAGAAAATAAAGCACTAATTTTTTTTCATCAGCTGAAGGAGAAAGACTTCATTATAACTACTGAAGGGTTTGAAGAAATTCTGAGACAAATCAAGGAAGAAATGGAAAATGCTCCAACTAAAGAGGAATATGAGGACCTCAAAACACAGATGTCAAAACTAAAAGAGGTAAAACTTTAAGTTTTAATTGTTAGTTACCGGTAAATATACCAGTACATGTATAACTTACATACATGATTTTAAGAGAACTAATTTTTGTATGACAGACCAGTATTATCAGCTTCTCAAGGCTCACAATAAGGTAAGCAATCTTTATGAATTCATGATGCCAGTTGTCTGTTGTTACAAGGGATGATAAAAATTTAACCGGACTAAATAAAAAATTTATAACTTATTGAATACATTTGCATAAAAACACAGAATATAAATTGGAGTATATCCCCTACATAATAGAAAGAAAATCATTATCAGTTATAAAAGTTATGCTGTTAAAAGCATGTAGAGCAATCCGATGTACGGTATAACCTTAAAATTCGACGTTAACGAACTCACAAGGGAATTGTATTATCTCATTCTGGAAGTAGGCCAATGCATGTTCGACAGATCTTTGATGCAAGAAGAACCACTGTGTATGTATCCTAAAGATTTGAACCATCTGATATTCTGTTTGATTGTTTAGATAGGCTTTTATTCAAGTAAATTTTGACTGTAAGAAAATGGTGGCTTTTTTGAGACACTTGTTTTCGAGACAGCTTATTAACAATACAATTTCAAGTTAACAGTAAATACTGGTCTAGGTTTCATGAATCATTAATGAAAATGCCCTAAAGTTTAAATCTATATACTACCATCATATCTATTATATAATTTATCAATTATAATTTTTAGGACAACAAATAAAATACAACTATCAAAGCCAAAGCACTTTATTATAACCCCTATACAAAGTTTGGGGGTATATATAGGAGTCACCCGGTGGTCGGTCGGTTGGTCGGTCTGTTGATCGGTCAAGACGTCCGTTGCATTTTCCTTGTTAGGAGCATAACTTGAGAACTAATGGTTTGAATTCAATGCAACTTCATACAATGGTCAAGCACATTGAGAGGAAGTGCAGTGCACAAGAACCATAACTCCATCTTCTCTAATTACAGAGTAATATCCCTTTGTTACTTTTCCTTGTCCGGAGCATAACTTGAAAACTACTAGTTGGAATTCAAAACAAATTCATTCAATGGTCAAGAACAATAAGGGAAAGTGCAGTGCACAATAATCATAACTCTATCTAAAGTAATTACAGAGTTATTTCCCTTTGTTACTTTTCCATTGCTTTCTTTTGTCCGGACCATAACTTGAAGACTAATGGTTGGAATTCAATATAACTTCATACAATGGTCAAGCACATTGAGAGGAAGTGCAGTGCACAAGAACCATAATTCCATCATGACTCATTATAGAGTTATTGCCCTTTGTTACTTTTCCTTGTCCGGGGCATAACTTGAAAACTACTACTTGGAATTCAAAACAACTTCATACAATGGTCAAGCAAATAAGAGGAAGTGCAGAACACAAAAAACATAACTCTATCTAAAATAATTACAGAGTTCTTGCCCTTTGTTACTTTTTCATTGCATATTTTTGTCCTGAGCATAACTGAAAGACTAATAGTTGGAATTCAATACAACTTAATACAATGGTCAAGCACATTGAGAGGAAGTGCAGTGCACAAGAACCATAACTCTATCTTCTTTAATTACAGAGTTGTTGCCCTTTGTTACTTTTCCTTGTCCGGAGCATAACTTGAAAACTACTAGTTGGAATTCAATACAACTTCAGACAATCGTCAAGCACATTAAGAGGAAGTGCATTGCACAAGAACCATAACTCTGTCTAGAGTAATTATTGAGTTACTTTTTCATTGCTTTTTACTTGTTCAGAGCATAACTTGAAAAGTTCTATTTGGTATTCAATACAATTTCATACAACAGTGAAGTATATTGAGAGGAAGCGCAGTACACAGAAACCATAACTCTTTCTTGACTCATTTAAGAGTTTTTGCCCTTTGTTACTTTTTAATGTCCAGTGCATAACTTGAAAATTAATGTTTGGATTTCAATGAAACTTCATACAATGGTCAAGGGCAGTGAGATGAAGTGCAGTGCAGAAGAAGCATAACCCTATTTTGACTTATTACAGCTATTGCCATTTGTTACTTTTTTGTCCAGTGCATAACTTGAAAACTAGTAGTTGCAATTCAATACAACTTCATACAATGGCCAAGCGAATGAGAGGAAGTGCAGTGTACAATAACCATAACTCCATCTTCAGTATTTGTAGAGTTATTGCCCTTTGTTCCTTTTCCTTGTCCGTTGCATAACTTAAAACTAATGTTTAGAATTCAATGCAACTTCATACAATGGTCAAGTGCAATGAGAGGAAGTGCAATGCACAAGAAGCATAACTCTTTCTGGATTTATTACAGAGTAATTCAATAAAACTTCATCAATGGTCAACCATATTGTAAGGAAATGCAACACTATCTTTAATTGCCCACAACCATAACTCTATTTCAATTCTTTTACAAGGTATTCTGTTACTTGTAACTTCCTCATTTTCGAAGCAGTCTTCACATTTAGTGATAGTTCTAGTTAGTTTCCCTTTTTGTTTGATACAAACCTTGATTCCATAGTCACAGGTCGTTATATTGTCCTGTACTGTCACATGGTAAGAATTTGCAGGTCAGAACAAACCTAAAAGATCTATAAAATTATGATATAAGTATATTAATCAGTAAACTTGTTATCTGAACTTGATAAACAAGGAGTTGCTTCAGCATCATAGAGCGATACTGCCTCTGAAGCAATGTTGTTAAGTCACATACAGGTTTAACTGGAGGGGTCTTTAAAGGGTTAACTTTCGTATAACATCCAAAAAACTGGACCCCATGATAACGAAAAAGTAATGCAAATATTTTTTATGCTCCTCGAAAAATTTCGGGGGAGCATAATATAGTCGTCGGGTTGTCCGTCTGTCAGTCCGTCTGTACAAACCAGAGGTACATTATGGGGTTTGGTCTATTGTTCTCATAACAAAAGATGTCTTTGATGTCATTTATTCTGTTTCTCGTGTGGGGTTATTTTCTGCATTGTTGGGTTAAAAAGAAAAAAAGAAATAACCAAAGAAAACCCCATAATGTAGCTCTGGTAAGAATGTCCGTCTGTCCGAAGGTATGTCCCTTATTCGTGTCCGGCCCATAACTTTAGTATTTGAAGTCAACATTTGGGTCGCTACCTTAAGTTCAAGGTCACAGCATGACCTTGCAGCAAAATTGGTTCCTACACATAACTTCATTATTTGAAGTCGGATTTTACAACTATTTCACAGAAATGATCACCATATTGAGACCATGTGTCGCGCGCAACAATTGGGTGGCTGCCTTTAAGGTCAAGGTCTCAGCATGACTTTGCAGCAAAATCGTGTCCGGCCCATAACTTTGTTATTTGAAGTCGGATTTTACAACTATTTCACAGAAATGATCACCATATTGAGACAATGTGTTGCGCGCAACATTTGGGTTGTTTTTACACTTTGAACTTTGTCTGTAACATAACTCAAACACTGCAAGAGGTATACCTTTCTGTGTCCAAAACCTATTCGGGGAGCAACACCCAGTTCATCCGGCTCTAAATGTTTGAAACTTAAGATATGGCTAGATGTCAATCTGGAGATTATGCACGTTGTTGTTTTTCTATAATGTTGAAAAATTTGGTTGCTATGTCAAATAATAGACCAAAAATATGATAAATATGGCATTAATTTTTTTTTCATAAAAATTGAAAAATGGAAATACAGTCTAAATAACAATAAGTATGATTGCACCAAAAATGTCAAAATGAAAACTTTGTAGACAAATTGTCCATTGCAATTTAAATTTATAATCAATGAAGGAAATTTGATTTGACGTTCTTGAGATATATTGGGCCACTGTATGCTTATTACTGAAAAAAAAAACAACATAATGATAATTTTTATGATAATTAATGTTGTAGGAGATAAATAAACTCAAAGAAAAAGATTCTCCTCAACAAAAACAGCTAGAATATGAAAAAGCTAAATCAGGTATGTTGTATAGAATATGAAAAGGCTAAATCAGGTATTTTGTATAGAATATGAAAATTCTAAATCAGATATGTTGTATAGAATATGAAAAGGCTGAACCAGGTATTTTGTATAGTGTATGAAAAGCCTAAATCAGGTATTTCGTATAGAATATGAAAAATGTTGCATAGAATATGAAAAGGCTAAATTAGGTATGTTGTATAGAATATGAAAAGGCTAAATCAGATATTGTGTATAGAATATGAAAAGGCTAAATCAAATATTGTGTATTGAATTTGAAAAGGCTAAATCAGATATTGTGTATAGAATATGAAAAGGCTTAATCAGATATGTTGTATAGAATATGAATAGGCTTATTCAGGTTTATTGTATAACTGACTCTCTGTTGATGAGCTTCAGTCTGTTTAATGTTTGCTGACTGACTGATTTGTCTTAATAATTCAAGAAGGCCCTCAGTGCTGTCTTCCTTTTCTTTAATATATTTCTGTAATATTTACTCATTGATTTGTTCTTAAAAATGGAATTACATATTATCATTTGAATTACAGAATGGCGGAAAAATCTGATAGAACAGTATCACAAAACCCTGCTGCAGGTTCCTACAATACCTTTACAACCAAAAAGTAAAAAATATAGCTTTAATGAGATTTATATTAGACCCCAAATTATTAGGGAAATGAAAGGAGAAAATGAAGAGATAAAGGACATTGAGGTTAAAACAATGTCTGAAATGTTCACATATAATGGAGTCCCCCAAAAATCTGTGTATGTTCTAGGAGATGCAGGGTCAGGAAAAACTAGTTTTTGTAAATATCTGGTCAACTGTTGGTGTTTGGCACATAGTGAGCAACAAGAAGCCCACAATGCAAATGAGGACCATGGGGTCGGAAATGAAAAACATGGAGGTGACAATGAAGATCATGAAGGTTATAATGAAGAACATGTTGGTGATAATAAAGAACATGTTGGTGATAATAAAGAACATGAAGGTGATAATGAAGAACATGAAGGTGATAATGAAGAACATGGGGTAGGTAATGTAAAGGAAGGTGGCAATGAAAATGAACCTGGCAATAAAAATGAGGAGCATGAGGGCGGAAATGAAAAACATGGAGGCGGTAATGAAGAACATGGAGATGATAATAAGAAACATGAAAATGACAAAGAAAGTGAAGATAGCAGTGGGAAATATGGAAATGACAGTAAAAATGAAGGTGGCAATGACAAGCACGAAGGTGATAATGAAGAGCATGAAAAACATGGAGGTGACAATGAAAATGAAGGTGGTGATGAGAAACATAAAGAACATGGAAGTGACATTGTAAATGAAGAGGTAAATGAGGAATATGGAGGAGATATTGAAAATGAAAATAATATGGTCGATGATAAGAAACATGGAAATGATTGTGATGACATTCAGGATGAAAGTGATGATGTAGCAAACTCTGAATTATACAGTGATGACTCTGATGGTGACTTGACAGACTTTGAATTCGACAGTGATGACTTGAGAGACTTTAAATTCGACAAAGATGACTCTGATGGTGACTTGACAGACTCTGAATATGACAGTGATGACTCTGAATATGACAGCAAAAGTTATGAACTTAAATTCAATGGTGTAAAAGAGATGAAAAAATTTGATTTTTTATTTTACATCCCTCTTAGACAGTATCAAAACATTGACACTATTGATGAAATGCTTCAAAAACGTTATCAAATGAAAATGTTAAACACACTTCTTGAAGAAGAATCCTCTAGGGTTATGATTTTGCTTGATGGCTTAGATGAATGGTCCTCTGAAAATGTCCCAGAACATAGCATCTTTAAGGAGTACACAATAGTAACTACTTCGCGACCATGGAAATTTCATATGTTAAGATCAAGTGATGTGGAGATTGAACAGTCACTGAAACTGAATGGGTTTGATTTTAGTTGTGAAAGGGAACTGGTATATAGGACAGTCTCATTTTTAAATGTAAGAAGTCATGCTAATAAAGAAGCTAGAGATTGTAGGGAAAAGCTCGAAGAAGAGTCTCTGGAAAGTTTTAAACAGGTACCAATTATGCTTCAACAACTGATATGTCTATGGTTTGATGGTAAACTCGATAAAACCTCAAGATGTGCCATCTACACCGGTATGTTAGAATTATTCTTCACCTGGAATGACATGAAAACTACAGGAACAAGTACTCGACTCATGAAGGGTACCCAGAAAGTAAACCTCCCTCAATATTTAGCAGATAAAACCAAATTAAGTTTAAACAGACATTTCATTTATGAAGTGTCACAGTTGGCTTTTGAGACCCTTTTTAATTGTCCTAAGAATAAGTCCTTGACATTTGACATTTGTATGTTTGATGAACTAGAAATATCAGATGAAGTAAGAGAAAATTGCTTGAAACTTGGAATAATTACAGAAGATGAATGTCCAAATTTATCTGTATCTGAACCACCAAGCTCATTGTTCTCTTTTATTCACAAATCAATGCAAGAATTTCTGGCTGCAGTGTATATTGGTATCAATTTCAATACAAAAATTGTTTCATCAGGTAGTACAGGAAATGTTGAATTAGCCAAAAAGTTTATTAATGATGTTTTTCAGAAATGTTCAACAGTAAATGACATTTTAGAGCAGTCAAATGTTGTCATTATGCTATGCGGTCTAGAACCTAGATTAGCAACACCTATTTCAAAATACATATATGGTACTGTGTCAAAAGACTCTTGTGTACAGGAATACAGGAGAACATTTAATAGTGACACTTATATGGTTGATAGTTGTATTACTGATATTCAAAAGCTAATGTTTGAGGTAATAGAAGAATCAAATGCAACATGTAGTGTAGGAAGTAATCCTGTGTTTTATATAGGAGATTTGACCATTAATATATTCAATCAGTATTGTGATATGATTTGTTCAAGTATTGATCAGCATCAAATCCTTCCTGACTCTGTTCTGTCTATTAATGTACATGTACATGACATCAACACAAAAAATGTTAGATTTACAAAATATTTACCAATGTTTCATCATCTTGAAAAAATTGCAATAACATTAGAAATTTTTTCAAGTACACAAAGTGATGGTACACAGAATAATGAACAGACAATTGATGAGATAAACAATTGTCTTTCTGAGACAATAAAAGTAAATTCTTTAACATTAAAATCTCTGTCTCTTGACACTGACATATATTACCCAGTGTGTAAAACAGTTGTTAGCAACCTACCTAGTATGGTCAATCTTGTAGCAATAAGTATGAGTTGTATAATAATGAGTCATGATGATACTACTACATTCTGTAATTTTCTTGAGGGAACCACTCATCTTAAACAAATACATCTTGATAATGTTTATTGTGAGTGTAAGAACCAGCATGATGTTAATTTATCAAAACATCAACAACTTCATTACCTTCATTTGGAATTTACTGTTAGAGTGATAGATGTTGATGCTACAAACCTTGAAATATTTAGATTTTTTGAGTTGAAAGATAGTAATTATGAGCAAATATTTGATATAATTAAAAAATCTTACAAATTAAAAGAACTGCTTTTGTTTGGAGATAAGTTGAGTAAATCTCAATTATATCATGCCAATATAACAGAGAGACTAGTCAGAGTATTACCATTGTTACACAATCTCAGTAAGCTTGAGTTACAGTGTTGTAGGCTAACTGACAATATAATAGAGTTACCTTCAGAGATGAAGAGTTTAAAGGACATTATGCTTATTTGTGTAATAATGAGTTTGGCAACATGGCACAAGTTTGTTGATAGTCTTCCTAGTATTCCCCATTCTGTAGATGTGAGAGTAGGGTTCTGTTATATAACAGGAGATGGTGAGGAGTGTAATGATGATATGTTAACATTGATGACACAAGGACTTACAGGAGGGAAGGGAAATAATGCTATACAGCATGTAAAAGATAAGAATCAGTTATTTCATGTTAAACTTTATGATGGAATATCTTTTAATTTTTCTACAAAAATGTGAGATACATGTAATATACATGTTAAGCATGATGATTACTTTTGGTTTGAATTTTCAACAAAAAAGTGATAAAGTATACATGTACAGTACGCTCAGCGCGGCTTTTTCAAAACCCGCGTGACCCCGCGGATGAGGTTTACCGCGGACGAAAATGTGCTCAGATATTGTCCGCGTGACCCCGCGGACAGAAAATTTTCACCACCGCGGACATAAATCGGCGGCTGAAACCGTTTCCCCCACGGAACGCAGTGGTAAATTGCGGAGGAACGCGGCGGTCAAACACCGGTCAACGCGGTGGAAACCTTAAATTTTAAAAATTAATTACTGTATTTAAACATCAGTATAACATCAGTATACGTACGTACTGTAACATGTACTGTACATATAACTATATGTAAAATTTGTTTGTTTGTTTTCTTTTTTGTTGTAATAAAAGTACATGTACAAATGCAGTGTATTTCTTGTTCTTCTTCTTGTTATTGTGTTGGGTAATGTATAATATGTATTCGACATCAAGACAAATCATTGTCGTCGCAATTTCATGGTAGTGAGAAACTTGAAGTCAAATAATGAAAAATTCGGCATATGACATTTATGAACAAGCAATTATCATAGTATTGCAAGCAATCCATAAGTCCCCTACCGGTAAGAGCCCAAGCAACATTCTGAAGGGCCATTGGCCATTCACTTAGGTTCCTATTTTAAGTAAATTTGTTGAAAAAGTTCTTTAAAAGTGATCACAGGAAACAGTTTTTATGTACAGACAGACGGACTGAGGAACACTCTAAAGTTTTTTTTTAAACATCCCTGTTATCAAAATATAACATTTTTAAAATCCTATCATGATTGAAGAAGTTGGAGTAAAAATTACCAATTTCTCAAAAAAAAGTCTAAGTTCAAAAGGGGCATAATTCTGGAAATAGTCTTGCTAGAGTATTGAACACTCACAAATGTTGAGTGACAATAAGAAACATTTATATGAAGTTTGAAGTAGATACATTCAGAAAAAGAAGTTATTAAAAAAAACAATGTTTTTTTCATGAAGATTTTAAGTTCAAGGGAGGTAATTCTGATAAATTTTGTGCTAGAGTGGTAAACCTTGTCACATATGATGTGGTTGATGACAAGCAACTTATATTTAAAGTTTGAAGAAAATACCTTAAGAAATAAAGAACTTATAGTGAAAAAACTTAAAAACTAGAATCAGAAATCTTGAAATTCAGTCTATTTGTTGCCATAGCAACCAGAATTTTCAACATAGGAAGATAAAAAAATATGTGCATAATTTCCATACTGCCATCTACCCATATGTCAAGTTTCATAAACATATTTTCAGTACTTTTTGTGTTATCACTGGATCCAGGTTATGTGTAAAATTTGCCGTATTTTCAGTCTATTTGTTGCTATAGCAACCAGAATTTTCAACATAGGAAGAAAAGAAAAAGACGTGCATAATCTCCATACTGCTATCTATCCATATATCAAGTTTCATAAAAATATTTTCAGTACTTTTTGCGTTATCGCGGGATCCAGGTTATGTGTAAAATTTGCCATATTTTCAGTCTATTTGTTGCCATAGCAACCAGAATTTTCAACATAGGAAGAAAAGAAAAAGACGTGCATAATCTCCATACTGCCATCTATCAATATATCAAGTTTCATTAAAATATTTTCAGTACTTTTTGCATTATTGCGGGATCCAGTTTTGTGGACGGACGGACAGACAGACGGACGGAGGGTAAACCTAAAGTCCCCTCCGGTAAACCGGTAGGGGACTAAAAAGATACTGCAACAATTTATATGCCAGCTTTTGTTTCTTATTTAAAAACTTTGAAAACGTAACCTTCAACAATTTATTCAGGGAATATTCCAGGACGTCTCTTTCAATTGCCAGATGCGTTTTACTGTTTCTGTTTATTTGCATGTTGATCATAAAGTCTTATATTTTATTTGGAACATTAAAAGAAAGCGTTTATTTCACCAAAATATACATTAAATGATATTCTTGATTTATCTAATTACAGGTTGAGCGTAATGTATATTTTTTGAAGTTTGTATCAACTGTTGGAGTTTATTTTCATTTTTGTTTTAGTAGTTTGTTTTTTTTGTTTTTTTTTTATTTTTTTATAGATTTTTTTGCAGAATTTTGTTAAACTTGACGTTATACTTTTTGTTATTTTATTATGAACAGTATGCATGTACATACATGTATATTATTAAGGCAAACAAGCACACCTATGGCAGATATTTTCTAAGAACTTCCATCGACCGATGTTCAAGTTAAAACTATTTCATTTTATTTTTATCTTAAGATATTATTGTTCATAGGAATAATAGTATTTGTAGACAACATGTAGTTTTAAGTACATACAATTGAATATTAAAAACAACAACAAAAACAGGTACAGCTGTAATTATTTTTATTTCAAATTCCCTTCAAATAATTTAACGTATAATAACATTTAAGGAGACGATTGTGGTCAATTTTCAAGCCATTGTGTAAAAAAGATGACGTTAAAAAATAATAAAACGTCTATTATTTTTGGAGGTAAATTTATACTGACCAACTGACCATGGCTTTCCCCCGCGGGAAACGGGTGACTGATTTTATCGATGAATGAAGAACAGTCGTCAGAATTTTGTCCGCGGTGGAAACAACTAAACACCGGGGATCGCGGAGAAATTAGGCTTCTCATCGCGGACGAACCCCCGCGTTTGTCCGCGATAAAAAAAAATCGTCCGCGGTGGTATCGCGGAAAAAGCAAAACCCGCGGTGAGCGTACTGTAGTTAACTAAGTGTTTAAACTTAATTAGTCCATGTTAAAAGTAAAGATAAATGTGTTTGTTATTTTTGTTTTTTTCATTTTCTACAAAAATATGGCTTGAATTTTTAACAGTGATATAAGATACTTGCAGTAAACATAGTGTTTAAACTAAATTATTTAATGTTAAAAGGACATGAATTTGTTTCTTTATTTTCATAAAAAATGATACTAATGACAAGTTAGATATATACATATTTTTGTAAAGTTAAAGAATGAATATAATGCATTATGATAGAATATAAATCATGCAAAATATTTAGTTGTTCAATATTGATTTCTTGTCATTTTAACGAAATGTATTTATAATATTTAAATTGAAGAAAATAACATTCAAATTGTGTTAATGAATAAATAAATGAAAGAAAAGCAGTTAAATATTATAGTTTATTATATGATGTAAAAATAGCTGCAATCTCATTGGTCCAAACTGTAGTCAACAGAACTTTTTATAAAATCATATTCACTGGGTTTAGTATCATATTAACTGGCTGAATTGGATTTTCCAAGTCTAAAAATAGATTGAGACTACTATTCAATGACCATACACCGTAGACTGTTAATTACTTGTGTTAATTAAAAAATAATTGTTGCGTTTTGTTCTTTATGTCATATTTCTCGATTGAAATATCATAACTTTACCGTTATACTTAAAGGCTAAACCGGATTGATGAGTATAAACTTGAATTACTTTTGTATGCGCAGCATTCGCGTAGTCTTGCATGCATGCCTAACACGTGCGTCTTTTTTCCCGCGCTTCAACGAGGCAAAATTTGTACATGTATATTAAGGATGTACTTTTTCGTGATTTTTTTAAATTCTTAGCCTATTCATATAATAAAACAATTATTTACTAGTGAGCCATTGAATATGATGTGATATTCACCGGCAGAAAGTCATATTGACCTCGGCTATCGCCCCGGTCCTACATGTCATCTGCCGGTGAATATCACATCATATTCAATGGCTCACCAATCAATAATTGTATAATATTGATCTTATTAAGGATAAAGGTTATTTTTTTAAAGATCAGGTATAGTTTGTGAAAACAAATGATTTGAAAAAAGTAATATTCTAATTATACATGTTAATACAAAATAGATATGTAAATAAACAAGTGTATAAATTAATAAGTAAAATTGAAATTTGATTAAACAAATGTTTATTGTACAAGGTCAGAAAGTATAACATTAATGTAACATGCAAATACAAGTTATTTAATATATAAGACAAGGGAATGGTATTATATAAATACCAGTTATATGATATATAGGACTAGTGAATGGTATATATGAATACCATTTATATGATATATAAGATAAGGGAATGGTATAAAAAATACCAGTTATATGATATATTGGACGAGGGATTGGTATACAAATGAATACCAGTTATATGATATAAAGGACAATTGAATGGTATATATGAATACCAGATTTATGATATATATGACAAGCATATGGTATATATAAAATAAACGTTATATGATAAACATGACAAGGATATGGTATATATAAATACAAGTAATATGAATGTAGAAGTGAATGTCTATAAAAATACCAGTTATATGAATGTAGGAGAAGTGAATATTCTGTAAAAATACCAGTTATATGATATATATGACAAGTATATGGTATAATTATATAAATACCAGTAATATGATATATAGACAGGGTAACAGTATGTTTTATTTTCAGTGATATGATAAATATGATTATACATGTATGACATAAAGGACAAGTAAATGGTGTATATATATATATTTGTTTTCATTGAGATGAGAAGAAACATTTACTTTATTTTAGAGATTCCTTTATATTTTATATTTGCTTATAATTATGCCAAGTATTGGTGTGTACATGAGTTTATACTGTTACTTAATATAACTCAATTTAGTGAAAGGTTCTCCACTGAGATCTTTTGACAAGATAGGATAGGAATTGTATTTTTCAAAGATTCATACTATTTGATAAAAATCTATTTCAATAACTTGTGTGCAAAATTTCAGATCATTGCTAAAATACTAGTAATCATTTAAGCTGGACTATTCAAAGACTAAGGAGAGCTACTTAATTATCCAAGTGTATAATTGGCATCACACTGGTTTGAATTTCTGCTTGCAAGTTAGTATCTAAAACTTCTGAACTTGAAGGAAATGAGTTGAGATGCTTGATTTCTGTGGTCATCTAACGTAATAAACACAAGTCTTTTTACTCTGATTTGCCTTTTTGCAAATTTTGACTTAAAAAATTCATGCTTAAGTTTTTGCATGTAAGCTGGTATCTCCATAACTACAGATGGGGATGGATTGGAACCTTAGGCTCATATTTGAGTGCATTATAGGTCACTGTCCAAGGAAAATTACTAAGACATCGATTTTGACAGAATTATTGCCCTTTGAAAAAGGCGACATATAGTGATTACTTCTGTCGGCGGTAACAGCAACAGTCCATAAGGCTTGTTCACACTATAATTCAGATTGACTCCAAACTTGGTATGCCTGCTTCTTTCAATGACCTGAACTGCAGTGCATCTTCTTATCTTTTTGAGTAATTGTCCTTTTGTTAAGTTTCATACTTAATTTTTGTCCGGGGCCATTTCTCCTAAACAATGAAAGGTATGAACGTAAAACTTCATAGGATAATAGATCTCATTAAGAAGAAGTGCAGTGCACAAGACTCGGTCTCTGCACTTCTTTATTTTTCAGTTATTGCCCTTTGTAAATTCTCATAAATTATTTTTGTCCGAACCATTTTCTCCTAAACTATAAAACCTATCAATTTGAAACTTCATACGATTATAGATCACATTGAGGAGAAGTGCAATGCACAAGAATCAGTACTCTGTACTCCATGATTTTTGAGTTATTGCCCTTTGTTAATTTTCATACTTAATAGGCTTGTCCAGAGCCTTATTTGGTCCTTGGTTAAGTTTGATTGACTCCAAATTTAGTATGCAACTCTTTTTCATTGACCT